CGGATTCTGTGTCTCCCTCTCTCTGACCCTCCCCCATTCATGCTCTGTCTCTCTCTCTATCTCAAAAATAAATAAACGTTAAAAAAAATAATAATAAAAAATAAATAAAAAATAAATAAAAAATAAAAACGTCTTCTCTAAAATAACGACATCAATTTCATGAGTATACGTTTCAGGGGGGAAGAAAGTATCCCAAGCGCTGTCACTCTCTGTGTGCCCAGAGAGGCCAGCTCTGCCGGCAACTTACCCAAGAACACGAGCACGGTGCCCACCCACTGCAGGGGGCTGATGGGGTTGGCAAAGAGGATCACAGAGGCCAAAATGGTGAAGAACTTGCGAGTTGTCGTGATGATGGAGCAGGTCAGGGGGCCAAAATACACCACCGTCATGAAGATGAAACTCTAGAGAGACGGAGAGCGTGGGGGTCGGCCTGGCTCTCGGGGATCCGCCACCAGGTCTAAGGTCTGCGAGGGGCCATCGGGGCTCGCTCGGCCCACCCTCTTCCCCCCAGCCGGGTCAGTCTCTCTCAGGGAAGCCACGCCACCCCGTCGTGATGCGCTCACCTGCCCCAGGGCGCTGGTCAGACCAAAGAGCAGGATGTTGTAGATGATGGTAGGGTATCTTTCGGCAAAGCTCAAGAACTCCCAGAGCTCGCCGGTGAACAGGATGCCTAGGGAAAGACGTCTGGGGGTGAGTGGTGCACGTCCCACGCCTGTAACGGTGCGCGTGCCTGCGCACGACCCACTGGAGTACCCCACAGGAGAATGCGCGGAAGGAGTCTGGACTGTCCCGTCAGGCAGCCTCCTAGTCTTCCGATTAAACTAACTAAAGACTCTTCCGAGAGAGGCCTGGGAATCGATTCGTCGCTTCTGCCAAAGCCACTGGAATCAGGGATCCTCACGTGTTGGGGAGATACTGCCCCACGCATCGCCAGCTCAGTGGAGCCCCGAGCGCTGGTCACCTCCAGCCGTCGGCAGCCTCCTCCGTGAAGCCCACCGGGCCGTACAAAAAATACTTCCCGTGTGTGTCCGGATTTGAAAATCAGGTTAGGAAGCGCTGATTTAAAAGCAAATGCGTCCACATTCGAACTATACTCGGTACACGCCAAATACGATCTCATCTCTCTCCCTGGGTTCCCAAGGCACCCCCGTGACCCAGCCTTGACTGTGCAATGAGCAGCAAGCACAGCCTGCTGGGGAGCTTTCTCCAGGACGGTTTCTCAGGGGGCTGGACAGAAGGGCCCCTTTGAGCCAAGAAAGGCCCTTGGCCTGGGCAAAGTTAGCAGCTGGCCTCTGCGCTGGGGGTCAACTGGCGGAGGGTGGTCTGGCCTCTGGTGACACAACGGAAAGAACGGCAAAACTGCTCCTTACCAGCTCCCAGCAGCAATGTCGACCAAAGGTTGATGTTCAACATCATGTGGTTGGAGCCCGTTTGGTAGTGAGCCCGCATGTGGTCCTGGGAAACGCCTGTCAGTCCGTCCAGGGTCAGAGACAGTAACTGGAAAAGAGAGGGAGGGTGCAGCCGGCAGTGAGGCCACCAGGCCGCACCGCCACCCCCCGTCCCAGGACACGGTACTCTCAGTTTTCTGAGACCTCCTCACGAAGCCGCTGCCTTAGGACAGAGTCCCTCAGAACAAAATGCTGCCGAGCGGTCACGGGTGGGTGGTCAGGAGAGATCACGCTAGCTCACTCCCCCACCCC